TATCGCGCGAGCATGTCGGAGGACAGCGTGCAGAAGAACCGTAAGCTCGGGACGCGGTCGCTCGTGCGTGTTGCGCGGCGGATGGCTGCTGTCGATGGGGGTGGTGGTGGTGGTGGTGCGGATGCGGATGGGGGCGATTTGCGGGTGGTGCTGAGCCGCACGCTGCTGCTCGAGTTTCTCCCTGCTGTGGAACGCATGAATGTGGAGCAGCTGTTCGACGAGGCGGGGATCGCGCGCGTCGCGCCTGCGGTAAGCCCCATTCCTTTCCTTCTTCGGGACACATCCTCTAATCACCCCCATTTAACCTCCAGCACCACCCCAGCCCTTTCGTGCACGACGACGCACTCGTCTTCCCGGGCCCGAGCACGAGCGGCGGCCCGTCGTATGCGACGCGTATCCCGCTCTTCAACATCGCGGAGAACGCGCTCGGTGTCAAGTCGCATGTGCCATACATGGACCATTTCTACGATAACAGCCTCCAGACGGAGCTGATGCGGGATCTGGCGGTGGACGTGGAGCTGCTGCGCGAGCATGTCGTTCTCCTCGGAAATCAGGTGTGTTCAATGTTGTTGAGGATGGGCTTTGTATACTGATGGATGGCGCCTGTATACTAGGGAGTGGGAAAGAACAAGATTGTGGACCGGTGAGTCTGTTTACATTCGCTCGTTGATTTACCGACTGAAACATCGCCCAGTCTTTGCCAGGTACCTACATATATGACATCCCTCCCCGGAAGGCGGAAATCTAATGAACATTCGCTAGCTCCTCGGTCGTCCACGCGAATACATCCAGCTGCACCGCGATACCACAGTCAATCAACTTATGTTCACCACCTCGCTCGAGAACGGGATAATCAAATACACCGACTCGCCGCTCCTCCGTGCGATCGCGCTGGGGAGGGTCATCATCATCGACGAGGCGGACAAGGCGCCAGAGCACGTCGTCGCGATCTTCCGCAGCCTCGCAGGGCAGAGCGAGCTCAGCCTCTCCGACGGGCGACGCGTGCGTGCCACGAAGGAGCGCCCGTCCGACATCGCCGTGCACCCGACTTTCAGGCTCATTCTGCTCGCGAACCGGCCTGGATACCGTACGCTCGCCGCCCTTCCCGTCCTGTCTACGTGCTACGCTGATTGTGTTTGTTTGGGACAGCATTCCTGGGGAACCACTTCCTGCAGGTTCTTGGCGAGACGTTCAGCGCGCACTCGGTGACGAACCCGGACCAGGAGTCGGAGCGCACGCTGCTGGCTCAATTGGCGCCGGAGATCGACAAGGACCTTATCTTGCGCCTCGTCGGCGCCTTCCACGACTTGCGCAAGGGATACGACGCCGGGACGCTGAACTATCCGTATTCCCTGCGAGGTGCGTCATGCGATGCCGTTTGGGTTGTTGTCACTGATGTGCCTACTATGATATAGAGTTGATCAACCTGGTCAAGCACTTGCAGGCGTACCCCCGCGACTCCCTCGGCGATGCACTGCGGAACGTCTTCGACTTTGATGTATACAAGCCTGAGACTATCGAGCAGCTCGCGGCCATCCTCGAGCATCACGGGTACGCATGGTCTCATTCGTTACGCCACACATACACATACTCACCCACCCAAAGACTAGGCAGCCACGCCCCCCATTTGGGCCTCGCGGCAGCGCGTGAGGCGGCGAAGAAGATCCAAGACGTGAAGTTCGAGCCCAAGAACACGGAGCTTGGAGAGCCAAAGGAAGGGCAGCATGACGATAAGGAGCACCATGGGGGGAACACGTGGGCTGGCGGGGTGCGTTTCCGTGTCTCTGTCGCAGCAGTGCGCTAACTTGAAATGGAGACTGGCGGTCGAGACACAGCCGGTTTGGGCGGGCGCGGTGGCTACAAACGATTTTACAAGGGCGGGGATATAAAGCAGGTGCATATTGGCCGTCTTGGCTTTGTTTCACTGGCTCATGAGATGCGCAGGTTTCAGACGAACTGAAGCGGCAAGTCCCCGACCATATACAGGAAAAGGCGCGCGAGATGGCACGGCAGGAGCTGCAGCGCCGGTTAGAGGAACTAGACATGAGCGTGTCCCAGGCGGCGGGCTATGGGGAGCTGTTGAAGGCGACAGAGGCGCATATGGTGTCTCTGCATGATTTGCTTGAACGTCTGTCTCGGTTCTTGCTCTCAGACTTGATCTCATCCGTCCATGCTTGTAGACTTGGCGGCAAAAGAGGAGGAGCGGGTCTGGGTTAAACGGCAGACGGACGGAGAGCTAGACGACAGTCGACTTACAGAGGGGATCACGGGCGAAGCAACTGTTTACAAGCGACGAGGAATGGAGAAACCCGAGCTTGGACGGCCGCAGGTCAAGTTCGTCGCCTTCCTTTCCACTCTAACTGGATGCTCATCCCTCGTACAATAGGCCGAAGCGTATTCGATTCGTCTTTGATCTGAGCGCCTCTATGTAAGTGTTCCCCTTTTTGTTCCAGTCTAGCTCTTGATTTCTTTTCTTGACTAGGTACCGCTTCCAGTATGATGGTCGTCTCCAGAGAAGTATGGAAACAGGTACATTTTCCCGCTGCTGTCTCATGTTCTTTATATATTGATTTACGTCCTAGCCGCCATGCTAATGGAGACATTCGACCGTCTATCACGCAAAGAGAAATACGTTTGGGACGTGAGTACTGCATTTGTCTTCTGTTTTTCTATCGTCACCAACTCAAAATCAGATGTATGGCCATGTGAGAATTTACTCTCTGTTCTAGTTTGAAGCTCACCGAAGCAGTCTGGGGATGGAGCGGACATAGTCCTGGTCGATGCCCTCAAGCCGCCAACTGAGATGAAGGATCGGTCTGTCTTGCCCTTCCTTTTCCCCCATATCTCTCATCCTATCTTAGTTGGAAGGTGGTGGAGAAAATGTTGATGATTCCGCAATACGCTTTCGCCGGCGATTATACAGGTTGGTGTTCTCTCCTTCCATAAGCTTACTCTCATCATTTATTTTAGTGGAAGCTATCGAGAAGGGCGTCAAAGATGTGGGGGCCTTCGACGCAGGTTTGTAGGACCCTCATTCCCAAGAGAGACGCTCATTCAGAATTTAGACGATTGGTTCGTGATCGCGATTACTGTAAGAAAAAATTCAGCCAGACACTATGACACTACTTTCTGATTCTGCCAATACAGGACGCCAACTTTGGGAGGTATCTCATCAAGCCGGAGGACATCAGCCATGCAATGAAGCGCGATCCGAAAGTGCACACAGCACTTATTTGTATCGGCGAGGGCGCCGAGGCGACTTGGTAGGGAATTTATTGGGCTCCGTCGTCCTCCCTCGCCTGACAGTTGCACAGGATTCCAAAGAGTATTCCAGGTCGTGGATATCGTGTCAAGAATACTGCCGATATCCCGACGGTACTGCGCAGTATCCTGTCCACCATGGTAGATCGGTGATAGCGCTGCTCGATAGAAGTGTACCTAAATCGATATAATCACCTCTAATCCATCTTTTATCATTATTGTAATTGATTTGTTACATGGTCAAAGCGACGGATCCTGAGCAGCGTGGAGGGAGGCGTTGACGGGGACGCGCCGGCAGAGCGCGGGGACGTATTTGGGAGAGTAGTTGCGAGCATCTTCTTGAGATCAAGAGAAACGTCGCAGCCTGAGAGGAGTTCCGAGAGGCGCGGTCGACAGAGTCGGAAGACTGCGCGGCCGGTTCCACAAGCAGCTCTTGCTGGTCTTGATCGAGGTTGTCGAAAATGGCGGTCGGTTCAATTTGAGGCGGGCCAGGTCCCTGCGGATGTCGGAGACAACGCGTCATCTGCAGCTGCAGTAGGCAGTCTTGGTCCAGAATCCAGAGACTTTCAAAGGGATTGGAGTGGCGACGGCAGCCAATGGCGGTGAAAATGGAGACGCTGGGCCGTATGTGGATGCGAAAGCCATGACAGCAACGGCGGGCCAGTGCCATGTGGGACGCGGGGAACAGTTGGTCTGTCAGAGTCAGAGCTGCGGTGCTGCGCTAGGAAGGACAGATGCGGAAGGAGGAGCGGGGCCGCAAGTTAAAGACTCTCTAGACGTGTCTTGCTTCGAAGTCGGGAGGCGCGACATGACGGGCGGATAACACAGAGTATGGCTCGGGGACACAGTGGTCATTGGGCATCAGAAATGCTGAAGGTACCATGAGTGGGAGTGGGCAGCGATGGAGATCACACACCAAATAAAGCAAAATTTCAGCTCGGACTGAAACGCACGCAGATACTGCCGTTCTCGGCCGGGAAATTCCGGACCAATCGGTTGCATGCCGCTTTGGAGCCGCACAAAGCCGATTGGTGCGGAAAATCCCGGCCGAAAGCGGCCGTATCAGCATGCATTTCAGTCGAGCTGAAATTTTGCTTTATTTGGTGTGTCAGATGGGCTGATGTGAAGGACACAGCCAGACGCCGAATGCACTTTTGGTGTACAAGAATGTATAATCTAGGCCCTCCTCAATTTTGACTGCCCAGGAAGCATTCAAAGTCAATATTGAAGCCCTGTGAGGTCGAAAACATTTTTAAAGCTCTCTACTTGGGGTGCAGTGAAGGATTTCAGGCTCTTGTCACGCAATGTCACATCGCGTTACCTGCCATACGCGCCGCCCGCCAGTTCTCAAATTTGGACCCGTCACCCCAGTTTGGTGCCCCCGGCCGGCCGGGTAAGCTAACATATCAAAAATATCTATAGATCCGTTGGGACAGAATATTTCTCCCTGGCCGCATCACCGATGCCGGCTAGGTCACTACATTAAGTCTTTGCGTGCAAAGAAATCCTTCCCAACCGATCTGGAGATTTATATATGAAAACACATTTCCGGGTTTTTTTTCAGCTTGATACCGGGCACACCCACTCAAAAACAGGAAGGCGTTTTGATTTTGCCAGTTGGCAGTGCGGCCTCATCAATCAATATGTACAAAGAGATCACTGATGGGACGATCGCTGCCCACTCCCACCATGAGTAATAATCTGAACACCTGTTTGGCAAGGTTCAATAGTGTAGTCGAGGTTCAATAGTGTAGTCGGTTTATCACGTCTGTCTCACACATCACGTGCTGACCACAGGAGGTCCCCGGTTCGAGCCCGGGTTGAACCAACTTTTTCCGGAATTTTTTTTGAATATTCTCCGTACACGAACCTTTGAATCTTCATATCCACCTCACGCAATTTCTTGGCAGTTTGAACTTTTTACATAAATGTTCCGTCTCACAACTCGATCCATGACCATCTGTGTTCGAAGACGGGATGAATCGATATCGAAGGCCGAAGCCGATTGGCTTCAAGCGACCAAGTATTTTGCTTAATGGGAAATCGGAGTACCTCCACGGCCTCATGCCGAGGAAACGCGTCTCTTCCACCGAAATAAACGCGCTTGAATTCGTGGCGTCCGATTGGCCCTACGTCACATGATGCTTCTTCTCTGATTGGCTCGATCAATGTGACAGCCAATATTGTCCAAAGATGGCAGTCTCCAAGAAAATCTCTTTCTTTCCGCCACCATGTCCTCCTCCTCCAACTCTGCATCTGCGCCTTCTGTACCCCTCCCCCGCCCAGGAAACTCGACCAACTCCTCCAAACCGCCTGTCTGGGCTATCGATGCAGCCGTAACACCCCAGTCGACTCCAACGCCGGCGCTGTGTTCACGCCACTTTCGACCCGACGGTGTTTGCTGCAAAGAACTGAAAGGCGACGAGCGCACGCTCATAGACCCAGATATTGTCCGCGACGTGTAAGTATTTACAGCGGAAGTATCTTGTTCGTTGACAAACTCCACCCAGCGTCATTGGACTTTCAGACGGTCTCACGGTGCCATTTGCGCTCACAGCTGGCCTTTCTTCGCTCGGCGAATCTCGCCTTGTCGTTCTCGGCGGTGTCGCGGAACTCATCGCAGGCGCGATCTCCATGGGCATCGGTGGTTTCCTCGCATCTCAAGCCGAGCGCGACCACTACCGTTTTCTACGCGATACTACCGCGGCGCGCGTCGTGCGGAGCTGCGATGGCGAGATGGAACGCGAGGTCGCCGAAGTTCTTGCTCCCATCGGCGTCGACGAGCGGACCTGCCGCGCCGTCGCCCGCTGCCTCCGCGAAGTCGAGGTTCCCAGCGCATCCGCCAATCCCGTCACTACCCACGACCTAGAATCGAACGACTCCCTCCGGTGGAGCAAAGAAGTCGGCCTCACCCCCTTCCTGCTCAAATTCGGCGCCGGCCTTGAGGAAGTCCCGACAAGCCGTCTCTACATCTCGGCTTTCACGATCGGCACAGGTTACCTCGTGGGCGGCATCATCCCGCTCATCCCGTATTTCTTCATTCCCCGCGCACACGTCGCTCTGGTGTACAGTGCGATTATCACGGGAATCGTGCTGCTTGTCTTTGGTGCGGTCAAGGCGCGGGTGACGGGTGCGGGCATCGGTGCGGGTGGGTACGTGTGGGGCGCGGTAAGCACGTTGCTTGTTGGTGGCGTTGCTGCGGCCGCCGCATTTGGAATCGTTAAAGCGCTTGAAGGCGGCAACAGTTAACGGTATAAAGTGTTTATGCTGTGGGTCCAAGTATATAATGTGTACCATGGGTGTAGATCTAGCGATTAGACTTTCTTGCAAAATATTTATTCGGGCGGAAATCTCTGTCGCACAGAACGCCCATCTCCACAAGGAGAAATTCTTATTTTCAACGAAGTCGTCAACCTCAAAATTTTCGTATGAATTTACAATCTGGACTGCATACACTACTTATATAATGAGGTCCGACGATATGCCCACGTATCTGCCGATAATGCGCCTGTGAAGTTGATAGCGTCGAAGTCCTCCGGCGGCTCATCGGCCCTGTAAGCTTCTCAAGTACTTAAACCGACCCAAATACCCAACACAGATATATGTAACTAGATCTTGAAGCACCGCCCACAATAATTGAGCACCACTGCATGTTGTATGGAGTCGTTCATTGGACTTGCAAGTTATGTTGGTGCGTTATGGATGCATCCTGTATCACCACGCGTTGAGCATTCTGTTGAATTACAATAAAAGGAAAGCATGCCTCCATAACTTCTTGCGCACTCTCTTCTTTGAACCTCTGTACGTTCGCAGATAGCTCGGCAGCTTCGTTGCTCAAGCGGTCGCCTGAGCTGGCCAGCGCTGCGAAGCGATTCAGGGCTCTGATGCCGAACCCAGCCCTCTTCCCTGTAAGGAATTGTCTCAGCAGCGTTCGGTGCAGGGTGTGTGATCGATATAAAAGCCAAGACTCACATGTCCGCTTCGCGTTGAACGCCTTCTTCACATGAGGCAACAGATCCGCCGGGCCACCAGTGGGACTGGACGGGTCGGTGACGAAGTGCGGCGTCGCGGAGGCAAGCCACTGCGTTCCGCATCAGCAAACATATCAAGCAATGGGAAGACAACGCTGCGCACTCTATGCTCCAGCGCCTCTGCGGCCGTCAGCCGGCGGGCGGGGTTAACAGTGAGGCAGGCCTGCACAAATTCGCGTGCCGTGCCCGATACATTCACCCAATACTCCGCAGGCTCGAACTTGAAGTCGCCCTCGATGATCGCCTCGTTCTCCGCCTCGGGGGTATCGCGGTCAAACGGAGTGTAGCCCGCGAGCAGAAAATACGTGATGACGCCCATCGCCCACACGTCCACGGGCTTGCCGTACGCCGCTGCGTCCGCGTCTCGTGTTCAGCGATGAGGTGAGGATGGATAAAAGGGGCAACACACTGTTCATGAAGATCTCTGGCGCCATGTAGCCTGGGGTGCCACAAACTCCGGTGAGCAGGCTCAGCTTCTCCTCTTCGATGATGCAGCTCAGCCCAAAGTCCGCGATCATGATGTCCGCGTCGTCGTCTTCGGTGCGGAAGAGGAGGTTCTCGGGTTTGAGGTCGCGGTGGACGATCCCAGCGGCATGGATGTATTTTACTGCTGTGAGGATCGTGCGGACGAGAGCTGCGGCGTCACTGTGGAGGTATGACAAAACTGGCGACTCTGTCATCGACGTAACTTACACCTCGTAGTAATTGCCCTTGGAACATATCCGTTTGAAGAGCTCGCCACCTGTGCACAGGTCGAAGCATAAATACAAGTTGCGCGGTGACTGTGCCATTTTTAAGAACATTTTTGGCCCCAGACATACCGACGCACCTCAAAGTAGTCGTGCAGGGTGACAATGTTCGGATGTCCGCTGGAAATGCGCTTCAAGACTGCAATCTCGTTTCGTACCTGCATAGCGCCCAACGTCAGATAAGCTATCCGCCTTTTGCGCACGCACAGCGCACCAGGTACTCTCTCCCTTCCATGAGTTGTTTGTTGATGATCTTGCACGCATAGACCTCTTCGGTCTGGATGTGGATGGCCTCTCTGACGATGGCGTACGTTCCGCTGCCCAGCATCCTCCCTGTGCGGTACTGTATGGGCAGCCCAATCAGGCGCTGGTCGCATCCGGGTCCAGTGGGAACCAACGTACCTGACAAGGCGTGACTCTCGTGTTTTGCATCGGCGGAGAAGCAGAAATGTGCGTCAAGAAGGCCGATGAGACTCTGGCAAGATGAAGAAACGAGCCAAGCACAGCGGGCGCCTTTTCTAATTTTACGGAAGCCAATGAGAAGCATCACAGTTCAAGTTGTCAGTTACCGTGCCTGAAGCTTTCTCCTTCTTGGTAATTCTGCTGGGTTTCAAGTTCAGGTTGAGATTTACGAAGACATTACCAGTGAGCATGAAACGGTCGCGGAATGTGGAGGTTGGCAGTGGCGGCGGCGTCCAATTGCAACGGGTCACGATACACGGGTCGGGACTGCGCCGAAGATATGTCTCGAAGCAAACGATTCAATCACCAAACAGAAAGAAGAGAATCCAAAATATCAGCCCGATGGTTAACATGCAAGAGCAATGAGGATAACTGTGGAGGAAGAGAAAAGGCGCGTCAAACTTTGAGTCCGTCACGCCATTAGGAACGTTTTCATTTTTTTGATCGGAGGCCAGTCGATACCTTCCCCTCAATTGCAGATCAGCTAGTACTGAATAATGTCCGTAACACCAAGGTCTCACCTATAGAAATCAACACCGTCAGCAACACAGGTGGAACCGACTGGGAACTCACGATCAATTTCACCACAGTTGCGCTGCGCAATAAATCTTTCTGCGTGGACCCAGAAATCATCTCCGCCACGGGCTCCAATTTGCCAGTCCTCTTCAAACTCTTGAAGGATCGGAATACGGAGGCATACAAATCGTGTATCTTGCGCAAGCGACTCCAGACCAACCCCTGGATTAGGTCGGTAATAGAGGAATATAAGAACTTGTAACCCGGGACAAGCGGTTAGCGTGCTTTGAAAAAATGAAAGCGACTTCTCCACTGTGAACGCCAGATGCGTAAGGTTGGGGATGATTGCGAGCCCCCTCCATTTCTCCCACTGAACGTTGCCGAGAAAGTCTCTCAATTGGAGATGGGTGATGTGCGAAAATAGCGGATGCGTGAAATCGATGCCAGCCGAGGGAAAGCCGAACAAGTACTCCACCTCGACGGACAGACGGCGCAGAGGCATGGCCGATAGGAATGGGAGGACACCCGGGTGGACACCCGGATCACGGCCAAAGAGGGCCAAATTTTGAACGGCGGAGCATTTCGAGAGGATACGCTCATGCGCTATGAACGGGACACGATGCAACGATATGAGAAGGTTCGTGACGTGTTGGGAGATCGCTGGGGACTGAACGACCGATGAAAAGTGGGCAAAATCGAAGCATATGTGTCCAGGTAACGGGCTGTCAAAGACCACTGCGCTGTACAGGATCGGCTCCAGCCTATCCGCCGTCAGGTCTGATATTCGTTATGTGGCGAAAATGACCGGAAATCACCATATCTTTACCCGATGGGCGACCAGAAGAAGAGTTGGGATTGATTTAGAGTGCGAGTTTGCAGTAAGTTCAAAGATGCGGCGTTCCAGTTCGGGAGGGAGTCTAGGTCCGGATTCTGCCATGAGCGGCGGAACCAAGATTCACTGGCACAGCCACATGAGGGCCCATGATCATGATTGACGAACTTGCGAAGAATTCGGCGGAACCGCAAGAAACTAGACACACCCGTCCTCAAGATCATTGAGATTTTCTGAA